AAAAAAAAAAAAAAAAGATAGACAGGAGGTATAACTCAATGGTAAGAATGCTATCAATGAGAGAAAACGGCAAGACCCCATGACCCTGAGTTCGAAACCTGCTATCAAGACACACACATAAAAAGGTATCAAGAGCTGGGAAGGTGGCTCAGTGGTAGAGTGCTTGCCTTGCATGCATGAGGCCTGGGTTCAATTCCTCAGCACCACATAAGCAGGAAAATAAAAATAAAAAAATAAAAAGGTATCAAGTGAAACAAGTAAACATTACACATTGTACTTCCAAACCTCTATTGTAAATAACTCCTTATTGTTCTTTTCCCTTTTGTTGTTGTTGGTTGTGGGGTTGGAAGTCTGGGACTAGGCGCTGTCCCTGAGCTCTTTTTCCTCAAGGCTAGCGTTCTACCCTTTGAGCCACAGCTTCACCTCCATCCTTTGTGTGTGTGGGGGGGGGGGTTTTTTTTTTTTTTTTGGTATAGAGGATCAAACCCAGGACACTGCACTTGCAAGGCAATCACTTTGCCACTGAGCTACATCCCAGCACATCTTTTCCTTTTTTTTGTCAGTTGTGGGCTTGAACTCTGGGCCTGGGCGCTGTCCTTTGCACTCTTCAGCTCAAGGCGAGTGCTCTACTGCTTAAGCCACAGCACCACTTCCGGTTTTCTAGTGGTTTATTGGAGATAAGAGTCTCACGGATGTTCCTGCCAGGGCTGGCTTTGAACCATGATTCTCAGATCTCAGCCTCTTGAGTAGCTAGGATTATAGGCCACTGTGAGCCACTGGTACCCAGCTCTTTTCCCTTTCTTAACAGAACTTGAATTTGAACTCGGGGCTCATGCCTGCTTAGCAGACAGCATATCACTTGAGCCATGTCCCCAGCACTACAATTTCTCTATCAGTGAAGTCATTTTGAACAGCTGATCCCAAGGCAATTATTCTGGATGATATAACCTGATGTCTAACAGGGCTCATAGGAACTTCCTCATGCCTGCCCATCAATTTCAGGGCCTAGTTCTGCAAACTCCAAATATAGATTTTTTCTTGGCTTTACCAACAAGTCAATGTCAAACACTGCAGCAATAACCATACATTTTTAAATAAAGTCAGATATTCCTTTTCTTAGAATAATTCTTAATTTTTCCCAACATTCTTTTTTGTGTATGTGTTGGCCATGTCCCTGAGCTTCTTTTGCTCAAAGCTACTGCTGTATTTCTTGAGCCACAGTGCCACTTCCAGCTTTTTCTCAGTAGTTTATTGGAGATAACACTCTCACAGATCTTTCTGCCCAGGCTGGCTTCAAATCACAATCTTCAGATCTCAGCCTCCTTAGTAGCCTGTTACAGGTGTGAGCCACCAGCACCCAGCTTTATCCCAACATTCTTATTTCTCTTTTTTCCTTTGTGCTGGTCCTGGGCTTAAACTCAGGGCCTGAGCTTATCTCTTCAAGGCTGGAACTCTACCACTTGATCCACAGCTAACTCACAACTTTTTGGTGGTTAATTCGAGACTAATGGCTTTTCCTGCTCAAACTGATCCTCAGATCTCAGCCTGAGTAGCTGGGATTATAGACATGAGTCACTGGTGCCCAGCCATTCTTAGTTCTTATAAATGATCTCATATAAAATATTAAGGCTGTAGACTTATATTGATATAGGTGAATGGTTTATTCCATGTGAATTTTCTGGTGCTGAGTAAGCCTGGAGCTCCGATTGAAAGCTTTGCCACAGTCATTACATTTGTAAGGCTTCTCTCCAGTGTGAATTCTCTGATGTATAATGAGATGTGAACGCCACCTGAAGATTTTCTCACAGTCATCACATTGGTGCACTTTCTTTACAGTGTTGACTTTTTTACGGCTCACAAAGGTGGACCCTTCAAGAGTGTTCCCAAATTCATAGTACCACTGGGCTCTAGTGTGGATTCTCTGGTGTTCAATGAGGTATGAGCTTCGGCTAAAAGCCTTTCCACATTCACTACACTCATAGGGCTTCACTCCAGCATGAATGATCTGGTGTTGGAAAAGAGTTGAGTTTTGACTAAAGGCTTTCCCACATTCACTACACTTGTAAGGTCTCTCCCCAGTGTGAACCCTCTGGTGGATAGTGAGCTGTGTGCTCATACTGAAAGCTTTTCCACATTGGAGGCATTCATATGGCTTCTCTCCTTTATGGATCCTCTGATGGTAAATGAGGCTGGAACTCTGGCTGAAGGCTTTCCCACAGTCACTGCACACATACGGTTTCTCTCCAGTGTGAATTCGCTGATGTTGAATAAGGTGTGAGCCCTGGACAAAGCCTTTCCCACACTCATCACACTTAAATGGTTTTTCTCCAGTGTGAGTTCTCTGGTGGCGAATCAGCCTTGAGCTACAACCAAAAGCCTTTGTGCACTTGTTGCATTTATAAGGTTTCTCTCCAGTGTGAATCAGTTGATGCTGACTCAGGCGGGAGATCCACCTGAAAGCTTTCCCACACTCCTCACACTTGAAAGGCTTCTCCACATGACTTCTCTGATGTGCAAGAAAGCCTGGACTTTCTGAATCGCTTGTTATTTGCAATTTCTCTCCAGCATGCATCCTCTGATGCTGGGTGAGAGTTGAGCTCTGGCTAAAGGCTTTGCCACACTCTTGGCACGGGTAAGGTCTCTCTCCAGTGTGAATTCTCTGGTGTCGAACCAGCTGTGACTGCTGGCTGAAGGCTTTCCCACAGTCTCGACAACTGTACGGCCTCTCTCCAGTGTGAATTCTCTGGTGATGGATGAGGCTTGAGCTCTGCCCAAAGGCTTTCCCACATTCTTCACACCTGTAGGGCTTCTCTCCAGTATGAATTCTTTGATGCTGAATAAGTTTTGAGCTTAGGCGGAAGGCTTTTCCACACTCAACACATTTAAATGGTTTCTCTCCAGTGTGTATTCTCTGATGCTGACTGAGCTGGGAGCACAGCCTGAAGACTTTCCCACAATCCTCACACTCATACGGCTTCTCCCCATTGAAGTTACTTGAATAGTTACTCTGTAGGCAGTCAGATAATCTCTCGTAGCATCCTTGACATCTGTTAGGTTTCTGCTGCATGGCTACTTCCCACTGTGAAGCCGGATCTGAAGTAGGTCTGAAACATCTGCCACACACTTCACATCTCTGTGGTGTCCCTTCCACACTGTCTCTCTGTTGTTCATTAAGCTGATAACTCAGAAGGGTCTTTGAAGCCACAGTCTCCTTAGGTAAACAGTGCCTCTGGGAGAGGCAGCCCTTCACTCTCAGCCTATGGCTGCATGGATGACTCCCTAACCAGACCTCAGAACTGGAAGAGTCCCCACAGCCAGGACTTTGTGGTTTGAGAATGCTCATGTCTGCACAGGCCTGTTCACCATCAGTCCTACTGGCAGAGTCTGAAATAAAATAAAAATGGTTCTTATGTCTGGAGCTCAGAGAAAGGACAAAGATTACAGCTATCATGGTTAGCACTTCTAGCACGGGTTGAATTGAGCATTGTGACACAGCCCCAGTAGAAATGTGCTACAAAGGCTGGATGCTGTTGCCTGTAATCCTAGAAACTCAGGAGGCTGAGATCTGAGGATCACAGTTCAAAGCCAGCCCAGGCAGGAAAGTCCGTGAGACACTTACCTCCAATAAACCACTCAGAAAACAAGCGGCCTAGTGGTTCAAGTGGTAGAGGAACTAGCCTTGGGCTGAAGAGCTGAGGGACAGTGGCCAGGCCCAGAGTTCAAGCCCCACAACCAACAAAAACAAAACAAAAAAAGAAATGTGCTACAAAGAAATACTGGGGGAGGGGCTGGGAGTGTGGCTCAGTGGTAGAGTGCTTGCTTAGCATGCATGAGGCCTTAGGTTCAATTCCTCAGTACCACATACACAGAAAAGGCCAGGAATGGCTCTGTGGCTCAAGTGAGGGAGCACTAGCCTTGAGCAAAAGCAGCTCAGGGACAATGCCCAGGGAAGAAGAAGACAAAGACGAAGAAGAGGAGGAGGGGGAGGGTGGGAAGGGGGAGGGAGAAGAAGGGGGAGGGGAGGAAGAGGAAATAATACTGGAAGAAGGAGAAGAAGAAATAATAATACTGGAAGAAGAAGAAATAATAATACTGGAAGGAGAAGGTGGAGGAGGAGGAGGAGCAGAAGCAGAAGAAAAATAATAACACTGGAAGAAGACACCATAATTTATTTTTCTTTGTTTATGCCAGTCCTGGGGCTTGAACTCAGGGCCTAGGTATTGTCCCTCAGCTTTGTTGTTCTACACTAGCACTAGCACTCCACCACTTGAGCGATAGCTCTACCTCTGGCTTTTTGGTACTGACCTTTCTGACTGGGCTGACTTGGAACTGCGATCTCAGCCTCCTGAGTAGCTAGGATTACAGGCGTGAGCTATATAGCCCAGGTTGGCCTTCACATGGAGCTGGGCCCTGAAGACTTCTGGCCACTATAGATGAGAGCTTTTGTTGTTTTTCTTTCTTTAGTTTTTTGTGGAGGTGGTGGTAGTGGCCAGGACAGCGTTGTTTTTGTTTTTATTGTGAAAATACTGTACAGAGGGGTTACAATTACATGGGCAAGATAATGAGTACGTTTCTTATGAAGCATTGTAGCCTCCTCCTTTTTTTTTTTTGGTTTTTTTTTTTGGTCCGATAGTGGGGCCTGAACTCTGGGCCTGGGCGCTGTCCCTCAGCTCTTCAGCTCAAGGCTAGCACTCTACCACTTGAGCCACAGCGCCACTTCCCGCTTTTTTCTTTTTGCCTATGTGGTGCTGAGGAATC